ATTTCAATAGTTCAATCGTGTAACAGTAGCACACTTGTTCGCTTAATTCACACAGTTACGGAGTTTCCTGTCTTTATTCGTTTAGCTATTATGGTAAATATTTTGAGCTAGCTATGAGAGGGAGCAATTCACCTCTACTCCAAGCAAACCAAACCGGCCTCCTCCGAAATTATATATAGTTTTAATTATGCATCGGATTACAGATACGTGTTTTTTTTTCTTTTCTTTTTTCTCAAAGAAAACCAGTAAAGAAACATTAATTTATTGGTATGACAATTAGAAATTAGACTGCACAGAAATAGAAACTGAACTACAGGGTAATCATAATACACATTAAATGTAGTCACAATGCTGATGTTGATAATTTGAGAACAAAGTATAATTTGAAAGGTTTGACGCGATCGTTATATTTAATCAGCACGATTTACTGCAAGGCTTTCCCCCCTTAGTTGATGTGGATGTTACTTACTTGTTCAGATGACATTTTCCGATGAAAATTCGTATGTTGTCATGGTCATACTGTAGGCCTACTTCCAAAAGTAGAATGTGTGATTCTGAATGCCAGTTTCCACATCGGCGCGGTGACTGACAGACTCGCAGTCTCAAAACATTGTGTTCATCTGCGCTGTTTCATGCCAATGTGCAACTCACGCAAAGTTAATAATTCCGCGAATAACTGCAATTACAGATTTCAAACAGAGATGGCGACAAAGAGGAAAAATGCCGGACTGCAGCTTTAACATTATAAGGAATCTTCAGTGATGCATTATATGCCTGGAAAAAATGTTTTTTATTCGACTGAAAGTCATAAAATCCACAAATATGCAGGTGCATTTTGAAATGTTTTCACTAATTTAGGGCTGTCACCAATGATTATTTTGGCAATCGAGATTTTTTCTTGGTGGTAATATAAATAGACCTAAGTGAACAATAGTCTTTAAAACGACTTAAATACATAATAACAATGAGGCAATAATTGGTTCAAGTAAAGTATCAAAAGCAAGTATTTACGATAGAAATGCAGTAATTTCTTGAGCAAAAACATGTTCAAAACATGTAAACTCTGAGAAAAGGTTTAAACCTTTATTTTGAAAAATCACGATGAACAACAATTTATATATTTAGAAACATACTGATGTATTCTCCTGTGTTGGCACAGGTTTAAGAATGATTTAGCCTACGTTACAAATCTGGTGAAATGGTGCGCACTGCATTCCCAGATGAACGTTATAAGCAACCCAAACTCACAACATATGCAGAGATGGAGTTTGTAACCAAACTGCTGAGACGCGCTACACGCATCTAAATAATAACAGTGAAACACTTCGCTTGAAACACAAAGTGCACCAGACTTTATGCATTCCCAAATGCACGTTATTAACCCAAACAAACAGCACATGCAGAGACTGAGTTCGAGTGGAGCAGCATTTACTGAATGGAGCCGTTCTAAAACACATATGTACATATTAAAGCACTGCGCTTCACTCAGAAACCCACAGCGCATTTATTTATTTAATTGTCATATGCAGTAAAAGACAGAACAATGTAAGCACTGTAAAAGGTTTTGCCACAAACTCAAACCCCATCATGCTGATATTGCGAGACAGCTTTTCACCTCGACAAGAAATACATCGCCACATTTTAATATCGTGGTACGAGATCTCGTTTCTCGTCACACCCCTAGTACATTTACAGTTGAGCTAGAAATTAAAAAAATTAAACTGATCTCATTCATCCCTGAAAAAACAAATTTTTTAAGAAATAGTCCCAGGTAGAGAAGTGAAGCGACCAGGCAATTTGGCACTCAAGCACATTAGAACAACTAAAGAAATCATCCGATTCAAAACTTGCAATATAGAAAAAAAAAGTGAATTAGGATGGCAACTAGTCGCTCATGCACACACACAACACCCAAGCTATACACAAAACAAATCAACGTTAATCAAAGAAAAAAGGCAATGAGTAGATTTGGCTTCCAAAACCAGCGATATTTAAAGGCCCATTCTAACATCTTCTACCATCAAAACACACACATACGTGATTGAGAGGCAAAGGTCAGCAACTGCAAAAGCTTAAGAGACCAGATGGAAGCTATTACAACCTAATTTCTGATTCATCTCACAGAACAGACAGAGTAGAGAAAGTAATTGCAAAGAACTGGAGGAAGAGAGAGTATGAGGCAACTGAAGTATGTACAAGATATCCCAGAGATTGCACAACATGACTTACCGAATAAACTGTTTGAAAGCAAAAGTTCAGTTAACAAAAAACAGTCATACTATAATACTTTCATTAATAAGTAATTAACAACCATTATATAATTATTAACATGTCTTTGTGCACAAATATTTAAAAAAGTATCAGAGAACTTTTTAGGTGCAGCGGTTCTGATTTTACATTGGACATAAAATTGTGTACTAAAGTACAAAAATATATTTTATCATTAAAATAAATGCAAACATAAAAACGTAAAGATGTAAATATAATACTAAATAAAAATAATGATAACATAATTTGTCAATAACTTTAATTATTGAGTCATCAATAAAAATAATATCACTATGCATTACTGAAAATGGTAATCTGATTTACCCATTTACTTTATTTATATTTGTTGTGCTTAAATTTTACAATATAACACTAATGTAATACATGAGCATTCTCATCAATTAATGACAAATGGTGTACCTTTAAATGCACATCATTTTAAACGCATTTGTTTCAGTTTTTCTGATTTCACAGATAGGGCTTAGATTAAACCAGGATTAGGCTTTAGTTCAATTATGGCATTTAAGTAGCTTTTACAAATGTCACTTAGAAAAAAACAACAACATTACTGGTGTGCATCTTGAGACAAAACAATGGCACTGACATATTTTAATATATATCAGTGAAAGTTGCTTTCAGTGAAAACAGTTCAAACATGGATTTTAGTCTGAGACTAAGCTTAAACCTTGTCTGTGAAACCAGGGGTAAGAATTTTGAATTTGAGATTCAGCACAGTAATTCACAGCACTGTAAGATCCTGGTTCTCACCTGAAGAGTTTTCAGTAAAAACAGCCAGAGTCTGTCCACCGACGGTCTGCAGAGTGAATGGATGCTCTCTAGGGGCTCGTACCATAGAAGGCTTCTCCCCAATGGTGTCTATGGTGGTCAGCTCCTCATTGAGTGTGAATGATACCTGTCAATCAATCAGAAAAACACTGATTCCACACAAACAAACAAACCCATATATAAAAGAATCAGGCCTGGTTTCACAGACAGGGCGAAACCAGGATTAGGCCTTAGTTCAATGAGGGCATTTAAATAGCTTTTATAAACATTACGGGTCTTGAAACAAAACAATGGCACTGACATATTTTAAGATATATCAGTGCAAGTTACTTTCAGTAAAAACAGCTCAAACATACATTTTATTCTGAGACTGTAACGTTAATCCTTATCTGTGAAACCGGGGGTTAATGTTTAAAGACCTGCTACTTACCTCCGCTTTGCCTTGATTCCTGTACGAACAAGAACAATTATGTGAATACAAATGTTAAATGTTTAATATAAACGTTGTGTTTGTAGTCCTCAATAACATGACGTTTTGTTACATACTTGCAAATTCGGAGCTTTCCAACTTCACCTCTCCCTGTTGCTTTGGCCCATTGATGTGACAAATACTTTGGGACCTTTAAGAGGTTTAAACACCAACAATGGCGTTAAAACAATGTAATATCGCACTGCAACGCACAAATCACATTGCAATCGTGGTATCTGTAGATGCTAAAACCATGTTAATAAAACCTGACACATTAGCTGTAGGTTAGCAGTTCATCATCGACTGTTTAAAAAAAACACTTACTTTGACCAGCCATACACCAGTGTTTTGTTTTGCTCCAGTCAGATCCACCTCTCCTTTGTCTGACATGATTGTTAATAGTTTAAAACTGTATATTCTAATTATTTCATGTGGATTTAATAGACCTCTTCCACGCTATACGCACTTTAGCTAGTACATCACCAACAACAGATTCGGTTGTACGGTGGCCAGATAGGACAAAAAACGGAAGCACTACTACACAGATCTCAGTTAGTTAGGCTGCCACCTAATGGCTGCCACATAGTTGCATTTTCTATTTGTTAGGTTGACCAGTTATAGATTTAAAGGAGATTTTCGACATCGCTTTGTCATTTTATTTAGTCAAATGCAGTAAATGCAACTGACTTATAGTTAATGAACATGTTTTTGAGAATAACTTTTTCAAAGGAAATTTCGTACCTTACTTTTACAATATCATAATAACAGACAACAAACAATTCAGATAAGTCTGTATAGGCCTACTTATAATTGACTTATATCCTTTGTCTTCATAGGGAAATTTTTAGGAAAGCATTAAAAAAAAGTAAAATATTACAAGGTAAAAAAACAAACAAACATTTTTTAGGATCTTTATGATTCTTTGCATCGCAACAACTATATATGAATGGTGATCGTCATTACTGTAATATAATAATATTGTAATGTTACAGTAAAAATGCAATGGTTTTAAATGGTAAATGGTTTTAAATCTGCATACATTAAACGCAGTACAACAAAAACTACAGTGACAAATTTTTACAATTACATTTTTGCATTCAGTAATGAGAATGATTCTTTTTTTGCATTGTCACAATAGTTTGGGGTGAAAACTGTTAAATAATGAGACAAAAATAATGACAATACAAAAAGTTTTAATGGTCTAAGGTAGTCATCATTTCCTTTAAGCAAAATATAAAATCTTTCTTTCTTTTTAATTTTGGGGTGAAATATGACCTGAACTCGACATATTCTAAACATATATGAAAATACACGCTGGTGAACAATACTTACTATTACCAATATTCAGTAAAATGATAGGGTGTTAGGATGGGATATCACTGAATATGAACACCAATACTAAAGCACTCATTACTTTTTAATAAAAAAGGTGGCCTAAAAACTTTTATAAGCCACAAATCAAATATTTTTTGTTCAATCAAATCAAATACTTACAATTAAACATTGGTGAAAAAAAAGCGAATTGAGGAGTAAAAGTCAGCCCTCCAAATTTTTACATATAATTATCAACGTGGTTCATAATGTTTTGATGATGATGTTTCGAGGATTCCAAATCAGTACAGCGTCTTTGATAAGATCAGATAAATGCATTTGATGTCCCTCATAGGAACATGCGGTCTTTGCTGTGTGAAAAGCGGGTGTTGAGCTCTTGTGACTTCTTGAGCAAAGCTTTTTTCTGAGCCTCATCAAAGCGATTGACTTGGAGGTCCATGTCTCTGTCGAAGGGTCTTCTCTCCACAGGCTTGTCAGCATCCTCCTCAGCTTTTCTCTTCATCTTCTTAGTGTGCAGACTGATGAGAGATTCACCACGCTTGGACTCCTAAAAAGAGATGGGCAATTGAAACAATTTTTTTTTTTACATTCAAGCAGTAACAATTGCATCTGGCAAACTAAAGGTGTAGTCCATTCAAAAGGCCCATTAGAGTGAGCTGCTCAAACATAGGACCAAGAGCCAGTGTTACTTTTGTGTCATTTAGATTATTACGTTTTTTTGAATTCGTTTTAATTTTGATCTTGTTTTATTTTGGTTAAAGTTTTAGTAATTTAAAAAAAAAAAATATGTCTATAGTTTTTTTATTAATCTTTATTTCAGTTTTAGTGTATACATACATGCATACATATACATGTATACACACAATTAATAATACTTTTATTATTTTTCAACTATTTAGCAATAAAAAAAAATAAAAAAAAATGATCAAGATTAATTTCCCCCCTTAATAACTAGTGTTTTGATTGAAGTTTTGGAATCCCAAAATGGATAGTGGTTAATTTACCTATCTGTTATTAATATACTATTTATAATAAATAAATTAATACACACATAATGATTTTTATACTGTGCAAACGGTATATTCAATTCCCTAACCCTAAACCTACCCATCACAGAAAACTCTTAACGTAGGGTATACCTGAACGAACACACACACACACACACACACTTTGTAATTTATGCTGCATTTAACTAAAAAAAAATCGTACATTATATTTTGAAACTTTTTCAGCCATCTCAAGCTCTTTCTGAGGCAGACGTGGTCCATCATCCTTGGCAGATTCACCTTTTTCCTTAGCCTCTTGTCGCTCCTAAGAAAGACAAACAAGAAGGGAATTTTCAAACAATCCCTGAAATCCCTCTTTTCCAAAACCCAATGTAAAAAAACTGGTTTCATCTGTAAAATTTAAATCACAAATTATATCATTGGTAAATCCACAGTGAGTCTCCATAACAATTTCCACATTTCACATTTGAACTCAATCTTTAACTCACCCTAGCTTTTCGCTCACGTTCAGCGGGAGTGTCAGTCCAGATTGAGCGGTCTTTGTTTTCAGGGCCTGATCTTTTCTTAAAGGTCCGTGCTTCCAAGCCCACATGCTGCAACTCAGGAGGCAACTCTGTCATCCAGCTCTCTCTGGAAACCACCTCTGGGCCAGTCTAACAACAGAAGAGTCACAGATTTTATTGATGTTGTATGAAGTATAGCATAATTATTTCTGTCTTTCACTGTTGTTCAATCATATTTAAATAGAGGATATATACAAAATAAAAACTAAAACTAAAATAAACATCAAATTAAACCCAAATAGTAATATTAAAAATAAAATAAAAAGACATAAAATCATGTAACAAAAATACAAAAAAAGTACTAAAATCTAAATGAAAACTGAAATTATAAAACTAATAACTAATTCAAAATATTACTAAAATAGTATATAAATAACACTGACTACTACTACTAATAAATATCATGATTATTATTATTATACATATATTCAGCTGTACTAGTTGAATTAATGGGAAAAAACTACATAAAATGCACTTACATCCACTCCTGTAAGTTTGTCTTTCATTTTTTGAGCTCTTCTTTCAAAGTCCAATGCCACAGAGTCCTGGGACGGTCCTTTTGATGGCATGGGTCCAATGACATAATCATCATCTTCTTCACTGCTTGACAATTCTGGAGTATAACCTGGTGGTAGCGCTGGTCCTAAAAATCCACTGGCATCTTCTTTTTCCCCCTTTTCATCTTCATCTTGTCTTTTAAAGCCTGGAGGCAGAGCAGGTCCTACCGCAGGTGGCCTGCTGGAAAAGCCAAAAAACAAAAATGAATTCAATCAACATTTACATTTGGATGTAAAATTAGAATAAATAACAGTGTGTGATCCTACCAACTCTACACAGCAAAATGTGAAGATTTGTCTTCTATGTTTGTTTAATTCCTGTTACCGTTCAGGAGATTTGTCTTGCTTTCGACATTCTGAGGGTAGAGCTGGTCCTGAAAGCCCCCTGGTATCGTCTTTTGCACCATCTTCATCTTGTTTTTTGAATCCTGGAGGGAGTGCAGGTCCTAGTAAAGGTGGCCTGGAGATGCAAAATGTATTTCATCCAAGACTTAGATTGAGATGCTGAAATTGCTATGTAAATGACTATGTGTGGTACTATTAAGTATTATTTTATGTTTATTACTCTTCTGGTGACTTTTCTCGCTTTTGATATCCTGGGGGAAGTGCTGGACCAAAGAAACCATCATCATCCTCCTCCTCCTCCTCCTTCTCCTCAGTTTGCTTTATATCCATCTCAGCTTTCATGATGTCTCTGTTGCTGTTAAAGAATCACACATGAAAAAGTGAGAGCAAATTATTTTTTCCTGAAAGACAATGATGACAAATTAACTAATTTGCCTGACAAATTAACTAATAGTCAGATTTTTCAAAACAGTTTATTGAAACTTTAGACAAAATATGAAAGAAAATCTATTTTATTTTATATTTTGTATCATATTTTATACATCCGGTTAAGGCCCATTTAGTATCCACACTTGAGAAAGAACATTTCTGTATCATACTTTATAAGTACAAAACAAGTATCATACTTTAAAGAAGACCGGTTCCCAGATGATGAGTATTTGGCTCTCTTGAACACGACCTCCTCTTGATCACTGTCCTCACATGAACTTGAGGACTCTGAAGCTTTATACAGTGGAGGCAAGGCTGGACCTATGACTGGAGACAATATTTATTATTTATAGTGTAATTATTTGCACTCAGATCTACACTAAAGAATTAAATGACCTAACCGTTTTTGCTAAAGAAAATTGACAGGAGGGGAAAAAACACCTAAAAGCTGCCAGCCTTGTTGTGCATTTGCAAAATTAAAAAAAAAAGAATTGCAGTCCACAAAGCAGCTAACGTTAACATACTAAAACCGACGTGCATGTGTAAACATACTTGCGTCTTCTCCATCTGAATCATCATTTTGGCTATTTCCCATCGACGGTGGCAAAGCTGGTCCAGTTACGTTTTGATTAGACATAGCAAAATTATCGTGCTAGAAAAGCAATAAAAACAGACATTTATTTGTTCACAAAACCAGAAATGTGCTACGACAGAATGAACACATTCCCTTTTTCCTGTTTTGAATTTGGGGTGAATTTCAAAATAAGAGTTCTGTTCAGGCGGAATCCTATAGGTGGCGCGTTATTTTATATCACAAGCGTTTTCTAAAAAGACGCTCTTTAACGCAATCTTCACTTCTCTTCTCTGTTGTCATCCGTTGTTGTTTCTATGGGCGGCGGGACGCTTAAACAGTCGGTATGATAAATAATCATAAAATACTTTTCCCAACTTCCACATAACGTTACATTTTCACGTTGTTGTGGTTTTCTTGTCATGAGGCTACGGAAGTCAGGTAACTTAGTTAACCTAAAAATAACCGAACTGTCATCGCTTAACTTAGTGAATAGCGTCTTATCTGTTAATTCTTTCCTTGAGCTTCTGAGCCCGTCCTGGCGCTTGACTACTAACAATCCACATTTCCCAGATTTAAAACCAGCTTTGAGGAACATTCTTCTTTTCTGACACGACAAGTCGGTAAGGACGCGTTGACTGGATCTTTGTCGATATGCCTCCAAAGAAGCCGAAGGGCGCAACGGCAAACATCTCCAGCTCCATCGAGTCTGAGGACATCAGTCTGGAGACAACAGTCCCCACAGAGGACATATCGTCTTCGGATGAGAAAGATGGCGCAGGGAAGGTCACAAAACAGCTTCTAGAAAGAAAAGAGCTGCTTCATAACCTTCAAAAACTGAAGATAGATCTGTCACAGAAAAATCTGCTCATAGACAATCTCAAAGTGGACCACCTTACCAAAGTAATGGTTGATTAATAGAGAAACTGATGTTTACATTAAATTGAAAAGCAGTTTGAAGAATAGTTAACGCTTGTTTGTTTGCCTGTGAGTGTTAACATGATTATTTTCACATTCATTTTAGATAGAAGAGCTGGAGGAAAGGCTGAACGATGCTCTCCATCAAAAACAGGTGCTCGCTCTGCGTCTGGACAGCCAGCTCAAACTCCAGCAGGATGAAAACAGGTGCATTTACATACAGTTAAGAAAAAGATCAACATATCAGTCGTCGTATTGGTATTGGCTGATAAATGTGAAATATTTAAGCCAGCAGCCATATCACCCTGTACCCCAAGACCGGTTGCCCACTGAAGCTAAGCAGGGTTGAGTCTGGTCAGTACCAGGATAGGAGACCTCCTGGGAAAACCAGGTTGCTGCTGGAAGGGGTGTTAGTGAGGCCAGCAGGGGGTGCTCACCCTGTGGTCTGTGTGGGTCCTAACGCCCCAGTATAGTGACGGGGACACTATACTGTCATAAGAGCACCGTCCTTCAGATGAGACGTTAAACCGAGGTCCTGACTCTCTGTGGTCATTAAAAATCCCATGGCACTTCTCATAAAGAGTAGGGGTGTAACCCCAGTGTCCTGGCCAAATTCCATCCAATGGCCCGTGCCAATCATGGCCTCCTAATTATCCCCTTCCACTGAACTGGCTCTATCACTCTCTCTCCTCTCCAACTATAGCTGGTGTGTGGTGAGCGCACTGGGGTTGTCGTTGTTCTGTGGCTGCCGTTGCATCATCAAAGTGGATGCTGCACACTGGTGGTGGTTGAGGAGAGACCCCCTGATATGATTGTAAAGCACTTTGGGTGTACAGAAGTATATGAAAGCACTATATAAATGCCTCATTCATTCATTCATTCATTCAATCATAAGCCGATAAATTATAGCCACTTCTTCTAGTCATGTCTAGTTGGGCTATTTATTGTTAAGCACACATAAAATGAAATGTTTATATGTTAAATGTTTAACTTTTACAGATTTTTTTTTCTGATTTTTGGAAATTCAGCCATTATTTAAAGACAAAACATCAAAGAAAAAAATCTATGATGATTGAGAAATGTACAAATAAACATTTCTTAAAAGCCTATTGTATCACACATCATCAACATTTTAACACAATTTAAAAATATGTATGGATAATTACATAAATCTAAGTTGCTACAGTCAGGTAAATGTACATCTTGAAATATTAATAACAATATAAAAACATTTCTTTAGTTTTCTTTTTAAAAATCATTAAAGACTTCACAGTAAAAAACTTGTGTACCACAACCTTAAGGTGGGTTTTTTAAGAATTATACTAAAAGGCCTTTTTACTTGCTAAAAAAGAATGAACTCTCAGAGGGCAGGTCTTTCAGCAAAGTTTTGATCAGGTTAGTCATTTAGAGGCCTTAGAATCATATCAAATATGATACAGTTGGCTTTATAGGGTTGAATGAGGGTGATTATGCGCAACAAACTTCCATATTCTGTAAAACAGGTCGCATCACTTCCGGTTCAGGTCTTTTGTAAGTGCTTCCTTAAATATACTCTAGAGCTGTCTTACACAAGAAACGTTCAAAGAAGCAAGAAAAGATGAGCATAACCAATGTCCGTATGCAGATTGATATCTAAAAAAAAAGATTCTTCTCACTAACATTTAGATATTAAAATCAAATAAAACAGCAACAATAAAAGAACTAGCTAGGTTAGCTGATTATCTCTTCGCCATCAGTTGCCGTTAACACTTTCTCCGACAAGCAGATGCAATGAGACCTGTTTTCCTCTTTGTTCATGTGACGTTGGTTCAGCATAAAGCCTATTTGGCTTCTGCTTATGCAGGAAGCAGCAAGCCCTGAGGAAGCAGGAGATGGACACCATCATGCTCAGACAGAAGCAGCTGGAAGAGACGAACCATCAGCTGTGTGATCGAGCAGGTGACCTCCGCAGGAGCCTGAGGGACCTGGAGCTGTCTGAGGAGAAGTACATTGAGCTGAAGGAACTGACTGAGGACAAACTCACCATCCCTGAATATGTGGCGGTGAGCACGGAGTTGGAAATGAAGATTTTCAGATATATTTATTGGTGCTGTTGGTTCCTCCCACTAACAAACAGTGATTTAAAAGCTATACTGTAAGTGTGTGTGTTTCTTCATATAGATTCGGTTCTATGAGGTCGTGAACCCTCTGAGGGCTCTTGCGACTGAGCTGCAGGTGAAAAAGGCTAACCTGACCGAGGATCTGGACAGTCACCGCAACCAAATTAGATCACTAATGGAGGTGTGGAAAATTATTCTTTTCCTTTTTGGATACCATTTTTACTACGGTCTTCAAAGTCAAAATGAAATCTATCTATTTTCTAAATGCAAGATATAGATCTTATTGTGAGCGAATCATCCATGCATACGTTTCATTCGGTAAAAAGGGCAAAACTCTTTAGAACACATGATGCATTCAAGACTTGCAAGTAAACGCCCACTGCTATGATTTGGTAAAAGTTTTGCATATTAAAATAAGTAAGTACTTGGAGTTGCCACAGTCATAATAGACAAAGGATGATTTACGGTGTTTTGTGTAAACGGAATCATAAATGAATGTACCATTGTTTGTCACACGGTCGTGTGACCCCATAAAGGCCGAAGCACAACTATTCAGTTTGACTGCGGCGCTACAGTATAAATACTATCAAACGATCTGTAACAGACAAAGCAGCGGTGAAACATGAAAACTGAAAAACACTGTTACTCACACTTGTGCAGGGCTCTGAACTGGTTCAAGGAATGAAAACAAAAACTGGAATTTTAACAGGGACATAAACAAAAATGAAGTCAAGTTTAAACGTTCTGAACAGAAACGCTTGTTTGAAATGACCATTAATCGGTCAATAACGTTATTTTATCGTTCTGTTTAAGATTTTAATTTGGCAGTCAACCAATTATGAATTCAAATAGTACGGCCTATCTATGCAAATGTGACCAACGTGAGGGAAATGACCTCGCTCAGTTGTCAAATCATCCTATGTAGGTCGCATTAGCTGTTGGATCGCAGAGTTTATCCGATATGTTACCATGGCAGGTGATATCCAGCTGATATCCGTTGGTATGTTTTGAAACCAATTGCAGGTTAGTGTAGAACCGCTACTATATTCAGGAAATTGTATTAAAATTTTTTTTTTTTAATGATTAAACACCTTGTTGTCAAAGTTAGTATTGTGGCTTTATGTGTATGGTTAGACACTTGCGTGTGTTGTTATATTATTAAAATCTTTCCAAAATCAAGCTCGAATTGAGTTACAAGGTTTTTCACCAGCGAATGTCAGAGATCTGTGTTTTGTCCGTCGTTAGAATGGTCACATCCGAGGCAGTGTGTCGGTGTCGCATTAAGTTTTTATCAACTTACAGGTTATAAAGGTTATTGTAGCTATGTGGGCGCTCAGTTTTTACGGTTGTTTACTATATTTGGCAAAAAGCTTGTGTCATAAATGTAAGTTGACAAAAGTGTAAAAAGGAACGACGACAGAGAAGAGAGAGAGAGTTATTTTACGTTATTAAAGTATTTAAATGTTCGGCGGTTCCCGCCTCCTTCTTCCCATAACATCTAACTGCGATACACTATTGTTCCTACATAACAGTTTACTTTGTAGGCTATGTGTTCTTTTGTCTTTGGGTCATGATATTTCTCACAGATTGCTGCTCGTTCTAAATCAGATACAGATAAATTGGCACAATAAAGATTATATTTATATATGAATGCATTATAGAGAGCGATTGCGTGTGAATTAATTTTCTCTACTAATAGTGAAGCTGTGGGTTTTAGTTACTAAGAAATATATGTGCTAGAACTTTTCAGTTTCTAAGCTATTTTATTGAAAAATCACAGAACAGTGTTGACAATATATTACTGCCCTACTGAATGTTTCTGTGTGTGCGCGATTTGCACGTGCTGTGTGTGCGTTACAGTGCAGAGGCGCATTAGTTTAGCTCGGCGATTAACTTGCATGGACAATAAGCTGTTTAAAACGTGAATTTACCCAATCAATTTGAGCATCCAGATGGTATATTCAAACATATCTTGTGAAGTGCTCTTGGAGTATGCATTTATTTGTCATTTTAACTGTTGGAAACAGAGTGTAAAACGTGGACATTCTCATTCTGTTGCGCGGACGTGGACATTCTCATTCTCATTCATTCTCTGTAGGTTATGATCAGCGACTAGTCGACATCAAATTAAATCTTACAGCGTCTTGGCAGAGCATTGCAGTCGACTAGTCTGTGCAACTCCTACCTCTTATATGTCAAAAGATCAAAGAAAATGTGATTTCTCAATTCATGACCCCAATTCCAGACAGCTGTGAAATAATTTTTTCTCATATCCCAACCAGAGTTATGAGGAAGAGAGGAGAGCACGCTCCGAACTGGAGATCCGCTGTCAGAGACTCACGCTAGAACTTGCTGACAGCAAGCAGCTTATTCAGGAAGGAGACTACAAACGAGAGAACTATGATAAAATCAAACGGTGAGTGCTATGTCCTGCATTGTCTTTTGAAGTCCACATTCAGCTCAGCCAGAAATGTTTCTTGAGCAACAAATCAGCACTCTAAGATGATTACTGAAGGATCATGTGACATTGAAGACTGGAGTAATGATGCTGAAAATTCAGCTTTACCATCACAGGAATAAATTATATTTTAAAATAAATTAAAATAGAAAACAGTTATTTTAAATTGTAATAATATTTCACAATATTACTGTTTTTACTGTATTTTCGATAAAAAAATGAAGCCGTGATGAGCGTAAGAGACTTCTTTCAAAAACATTTTTTTTAAAAATCGTACTGATCTCAAACGGTGGTTTACTTCCTTTAAATGTCCAGCCTTAGCTGCAATCTAACAAAACAAAGATATTTTAGTTGGGAGTCAACATTATGGGCAACATTATAGTTGACTGACTACCGGTAGTATAAAAGTTTCATTATGTATGAATTGTTAAAATTCAGTCCTTTAAATACGGTGGTTGTGTCTGCATATTTTGGTCGACAGAGAGAGAGATGAGAATGAAACTGAGGTGAGAGAGTTGAGGAAGAAGTTAGAAATACTGGACCTCACACACACTGCCCTGACCAAAGAGAGGAATGAGCTACATAAAGAGGTAATGTGGGATGAACACACACATAAGATTACTAACAGATCGGCATGCCAGTTAGGTCAATTAATTAATTGGCTGATTGTTTAAATTATAGACATCTGACACTGACAGTCTTGTTAATGGATAATAAACAATTTTCAGTTTGTTTTCTTTTTGGGGAAATTATATATAAAGAGCAAGGTACAATACCCATATATATTTGAATACAACGTATTTGAAAACAACAAATGTGCATTATCCATTAACAAGTTTACACATTTTGTAACCAGCACACTTCTGCAAACTAGCAAAGCGGGCAACTTATCAGCTGATGTCTATAATCTCAACCTATAAATCTGTTTATCATAAAGGTTTTTCTTCTGTTGCTTACGTTTCCTTTTTCTCGACACCTTTTTTTTCATCCACAGGTAGCTACTCTGCAGCAGTCTGTAACATTGATGCAGAAGGACAAGGAATATCTAAATAAGCAGAACATGGAGCTTAATGTGCGCTGTGCTCATCAAGAAGACCGTCTGGACAGACTGCAGACCCAGCTTGAGGACACAAAGAAGGCCAGGGAAGATGCCTATGAAAAATATGTTGCTTCTAGGTATGTGTGATAAATAATGTACAACAGATGGTGCTTCCTACCTACATTTTTTCAATTTATTCAGTTCAGTTGTATGAACAATATAGAATTGGCCTGTAGTAAGAAGGTTGCGTAATATGAAGAAATGGGCCAGGTCCGGTCTGGTATCAGGTATTACGTAACCTTTCGAGAATCTTAATATACTTGGATTTACAGCAGAAATCCAAGGTCCATTCTTCTCATTTCTTTATAATGTATTGTCATTATAATGTAACAGTTGTACTGTTTGCATCCCTCCACTAGAGATCACTATAAGACAGAGTATGAAAACAAACTGCGTGATGAACTGGAGCGCATTCGAATGAAGACCAGTCATGAGATCGAGAGCCTGCAGAGGGCATCTAAAGAGATGTATGAGAGAGAGAACAGGTGAGAGCAAGCCTTCATGTCTCAGATTGGACAAATCCTATTCTTTCTATCCTTGTTTACCATGGAATATCTGGGAATGTGAGGGAATTTTAAAATGTGAAATCTCTATAAAATTTCAGAATCAGAAATAATAAATTATTAAATTATTTTTAAAAAATCCTTGTCCAGTAATAACGAATGACTGGAAATTCATATGTTAAAAAGTCTGAATACTGTGTTTTATGTTTTATAATCTGAACATTTGCATCAAGTTAAAGAAATGAAGAAAATCAGTTACTTAGGATGGGATGTAATCTTTGAAACTGCTGCCTAATAGTGAACATTTGGTCTTCTCACAGCTACGGCTCACATGTAAAGCTCAGTGTCCTTAAAATGCAACTAGATGCTGGATCCTATATGGATTTAGTGGGCTTTTACAGTGCTGAATCTTATTTTCTAATAGGGCTGCGCGATTATGGCAAGAAACGTATTACAAACACAAATGGACAAATAGATACAACAGAACAAAAATACAAATTAAATAAACAGGGCTACAGCAGTATCCTACTAGCCTGGGTTTCTCCATACTGCCTTGCGCAATTTTATTCACGCTGCTAGGTAGTCTGGATACAATGGACCAAATTTTCGCCTCATCTAGGGAACCAATCACAGAACGGGGAGGGAGCAGCAAGACGATGACGACGTCTATGCGACACACCGAAGCAGTTTGTTTATACCTATGGATCCAATATGGCAGCAGACGCGAAGTTACCTTTTGATGCAGCCTTACGGCCGTTTCACACCGCAAGCGTGAGCGGCACTTGAGCAGCGCGTCAGCGTAACTACATCGCCGTGCGAGAGTATTCACACTGGAAGCGTTTGTACAGTGTCACAGCAGCAGCTCCAAAGATAGACTACTATAAGCGAGCAATTCTTTACAAAGACAACTATACATTTGTTTTTAGAAGTTGGTCATTTATAACATTGATAGTCTTGAAAGTCTGTAATGGGGAGGTGTACAACATTCGCATGTAAATGTTAAACAACAAAACAACCCAGAAAATGGCTCCAGTCTATTAGTTTCACTCATACTTTCGATATGTTTACAAGACTGCAATAAAACTCCGTGGATAAAAAACAAAACACACAAATAAACCACACACTCGGGTTTGATTTGGGTTGTGCTAGCCTATGTAGCTGTCTGTGTGTTACATAAACTAAAAGAACGTTTATTATATAATATTTTCTGGCTAGTTTACTTTAGTTTTTTTTTATATAATACACAACTTTCACCCAAACTGAATAATTAAAAAAAAGTTTTTACCGGGTAATCTTCTATAAATATTTTTGAGTCTTTATTTTCTTTTATTTGCCTACACAAGTTCTTGTTAAAACTATAGACATGCTTATTCTGTGCATTTTGGGGACTTTTTGTGTGAAATCATATTTATTTGTGTCCATCAAAAGTGTGCTTCCACTTGAATTGAGCGTGGAGAAGTGCAGCAAAAACAGATTCGACGCCGAAACCCCCGCTTCACTGCTGCTCACGCGCCGCTCCTGCTCGACGCTCACGTGCTGCTCCTGCTCCCGGTGTGAATGCACTCATTGATTAACATGCACACCGGAAAAAATACGCGCCGCTCACGCATGCGGTGTGAACGGCCGTTAGATACACGCCATCGTGTACACATAAATCTCTGACCCATCGTCGTCTTCCTCGTCTAATTTCTGCCGCTCTACATACGCCATCTGGTATAATTGAAACGATTGGCTATGAGCTACGTAAAGGCGCATTTGATAGACGTTCTTAGCACCCAATAAACGGCTCTGGGCATTCGTAAACCACGTCTCAAATACGAGAAAATGAACATGTGGTTCCCAGACCCAAGTCTCAATGAGACTTGGGTCTGAGTCTGACGTTAGCCAGGCTAGTATCCTACAGCAGAAAGTAATCAAATGTAAAATAACACTGCATAGTCTTCACTGTATATTAAATATAGATGAATCCTTATTAAAGCTACAAAAGTTATTCATTCAAGACCAGTGAGAGATTATATCTTTGTCTTTTGTTGTTTGACTAACATCAATTACACAGACTGAAGAAGCAATATAGGGCTGCTGTCACTTTAAGACCGAATGCACGGATCCAATATACAGTTACAAACGCGTTTTCTTTCTGAACTGTTTACATTCTGAACTGTTTACATTCTATTTGACCATTTAGGCATGAATTTAAAGCCCAAAGTATACTTTGCTTGTGTACATTTCTCTCCATCTCGGAGCGCACGCACAGAAATCCGCCTGGGGAACAGTTTCTCTTTCGCGGCTTAATGTACCTTTAATTACACTGTTTAATATCAAACACTTCTCGCAGTTTAGCAACAGTAGACTACATTTTACAGCCCTCACTTATTCGGCTGATTTGGATGTTAAATTTGGCTTAGGGAGAAATGAAAGCACACCCGCTGAATGTGGCAGCGGTACAATAATAGTTTTACCTCGATTATCTTGTTTTCATAATTTTTGGAAGCCAAAATCGAAATCAATTCCGATTAATCACACAGCCCTATTTTCTAATCAACTAAGCATAGGTGAAGTAAGAGGGGTCCCAGGACAGACACTGCTATTCAAGTGGCCACAGCCTAAATAGTTTTATCATTATCATTCATATAAACATGAATAAATACAATTTTTTTTTTATTAATGCAAGAATAGTAGTTATGACTAAACAATATCTGATTACAGTCTAAAAAGTCTACAAACAGTCTGTTCACACAGAGCAACATTATACTTTTCTGTTGCTATTAATTGGCGTCTCTTGTTTTGTGTTAGTTCATCTGTGCAAAAGATTGACCCTCAACATTTGAGTGTGTGACACATTAGCTTTGTTTACATGGAACCTAATTATCCGATTGTAATCGGACTAGTAGCACAGTCGGAATAAAAGTCACATGTAACCGTGCCAATCGGAATTAATTGGCCAAACCTCATTAAAATTTAATTCGGATTGTAAGGGGTGGTTTATTCCTTTTCTAATCCGATCGAGAGGACATGTAAACACTTGATTGAATTGAAATACGAAACTGGAAAATACTGCGCAATGTTTGAGAATGTTAGTATGGAATTAATTAATTTCAATTGAAATATAAGAGGTTCATGTAAACGTAGCTATTGTTTCCCCACTATTGTGGGACTATAATTTCTGCTTTATGCTACTTCTCACAGCATCAAAATGTTGGTGTAGACTTATCGTTGATGTATCACTGCAATCTGAACTCTCCAAAGCACAAAAATTAAATTCATATTCTGTAAATTATACAGAAAAAAGTGGCAGTGGAAACACTGTATTGTATTAGCCTATATGTAATAATGCAGGTAATGAAAGTTCATGATTTATATTGTTTCAAATGGCAAGGCTGTAAAGAACATTTAACTTAATCCTGTGCTGCATAATGTACAGAATTGTTTCAGGAAATGTGTTTTTTAATTTTTCAGAAACCTTCGTGAAACCCGAGATAATGCTGTCATTGAGAAAGACAGAGCATTGAATGCAGAAAGAGATTCCCAAGCCAAATATGATCAACTTTTAGACCAGTAAGTTCTTACAAAACTCTCACAAATGCAGTCATAATTTTCTTACTGACACTTTGTTGAGTGTTTGAAAAACTATTGAGTAAATGCATGTATAGAAATTCTTGCCAACTCATAATTCAGTGGAAAGAAGCTTGATGGCCGAATGTGTGTGAATCACTGAATAAGTGAATGAGTTTTCGTAAATTAGTGAAACCAGATGCAATGATGCGGTAGACTTCTGGGCATTTCGAAATCAGGATTTCAAAAGTTATTCAAAATTAGGCCTAGGCATTGACAACTATTTCCACTATATTAATACTTGATATGTCCCAATGTGATGTCAAAGTAAACTACCGTGCAAAAGTTTAGGGTCAATACGATTTTTTAAGAAATTGTTTTCAATTGATAAGACATGACTGAAAAGACATTTCTGATGTTACACACATTTCTATTCCTACCAAATGCTGTTCTTTTTAACTTGCTATTAATTACAAAATCCTGAAAAAAATGTTTCACAGTTTTATTCAATTATTAAGCAGCAAAACCATTTTCAACGTTGATAATAATAAGAAATGTTTCTTAAGCATCAAATCAGCATATTAGAATGATTTCTTGAATGATCATGTGACACTGAAGACTGGAGTAATGATGCTGAAAATTCAGCTTTGACATCACAGGAACATTTTAAAATACATTATAACATGCTAACTGTTAACTATAACTGAAAACTTAATTTTCCATTTTGTTTGATGAAATAAATGCAGCCTTGGTGAGATTTCTTTCAAAAATCTTCCCAACCCCAAACCTTTGAACTGCATTGTAAATCCCCCAAAATACTTAAATAATATTACCGGGTCACTTTAAAATGACAAAATTACTAACTTAACTTTACATTAATAAGCACACAAGAGTGATGGGTGGCGGCTTTAACACTGTTCTGTTGCATGCACTTTGTAAATCTGTGAAAAGGACATTTCTTTAGGACTTTTTTGTATGTTGTTTGTTTTTTCTGTGTCAAACATTTCAAGCTTGACTGGATTCCTCCAAGGCCAAATCAAGTAATCTTGAACTGATGACAGACATGACCATTTTTGTGTCACTGTAAGTAAAAGTGGGTGTAGCCATGTTTGTCTGTTAGTGAGGATCATCTACAATAATAAGTACTGTATATGACTTCTAAAGTTGGAGGGAGACATATTTAACCTCTGTTACTGCCTCCAGAAAAAATAAAAGCGTTCTTCTCTGCCTTTCTATGACAAGTAAACAATCAAAGCCAAGATTTTAAAATATGCGGATTGTTTTGCTCCTGGTTATGATAGATGTAATTATTTTTGGAGCCTGTGTTCTTGAGAAGGAATGTCTTGTGCAGTCATGTTCCCACGGTTGTAGAGCCAGTGTGACAGAGGTGTTGAACATGCCTTTGTTAAGCTTTCCATTGTGATGAAATGCAGTTGAATCCATGCGTCTACACTGTGGTGACCAGGGCCTGCACTTGAAGGAAAGCAGTATCAGATTCTGGACACTGGGCTGTGGTAGATGACTGTGAAAATAGATGATCTAAAACAAGAACATGTGGCTAGTTAAGACATGACTAGAATTATAGTTAGACAAGTAGAAGTAAATAAGCAGCGAGTCGCCACAGCTCTGTGAAACCTCTCTGACAGGCTAATTTAACATATGAGCTTTGGTTTTAACAGCATTGGTAAGTGTCATGAGTGAGAAAACATGCTAAACTGGCTAGAAAAGATGGGTATTTCCATTTTGGTACACTCTGCTGGTGCATGTCTGCAGCCAAAACATAGAAAGGTTTGAAAAATGACTTGAAATGTAGAGCTAGTGTAGGCATACACTAATGGAAAAAGTTTGGGGTCAGTAAGTTTCTTTTAATGTTTTTGAAAGAAGTCATTTATGCTCACCACAGCTCCATTTATTTGATCAGAATACAGTGAAAATAGTAATATTGTGAAATAATATTATTACAAGAGACTACTTTCTATTTTAATATATTTTAAAATGTAATTTATTCCTGTGATGTCAAAGCTGAATTTTCAACATCTTTACTCCAGTCTTCAGGGTCACATGATCCTTCAGAAAGCGTTCTAATGTGATGATTTGGTGCTCGAGAAACATTTGTTATTGTTATTGCTGTTGGAAATGGTTGTGCTGCTTAATATTTTTGTGGAAACCACAAAAAAAAGTTCAAGTTGTGAAAGTTCAAAAGAACGGCATTTATTTGAAATAGAATGTTTTTTGTAACAATGTAAATGTCTTTTTCATGTAAATGCGTTACTTTTGATAAATGGATTTATAAATCGCTATTGATCAATTTCTATATAAATGCAATAATTTCTTTCAAACCAAAAAAAAAATCATAAATAAAATACTAAAGAGAAATTATACATCCTCAGAATATATGATGTAGAATCTAATTTTTTTTTTCTGAAAACCGGTCGTTAAGTGGTTAACTTTTTTTGATAAGTGGTTTGATATTATTTATTATATTTTTACCTGTTTTCACCATGAAAATAGCCATAAAGATGGAATAGTGTTAAATCACAGACAAACAATCAACATTCATATAATGCAATTTAATGCTTGCATTACACAAATTAAAATTCACAAAAATATTTGAAAATGGACTTGGTCGGCACAGTTTGTCAAAATGACAAAAATATCTTGCGATTATTTAAATGATTCTTTCTCTTTGCTTTTTGCCAGTCTCTTTTTCTTTTTTGCCACCAACTATTTTTTACCCTCTTTCGCTGTTATCAGTATTTTTTTAAATCTTTTTCTCTCTACATTTTAGTATGCATCCTTTTTTCTTTTTTTTAAAGTCCCCGTGAACCGGAAGTTGCAACCGACGTTACTTCAGTGTCGTGACGTATTTCCAAGTGAAATGGAATATTGAATAGAATAGGGCTGCACGATTAATCGAAATGAAACCACACGCGATTTGGCAAAGGCTGCGATTATTTTCTGCGCAGCTTGTCAGTGCAGCGCGGCTGATCGGTAGTAAATGCTGCTCCATCTGAAAGCCAGAGGGCGCTCTCGTGCAGACGCGCCATATATGCCCCGCCACAGAAGTAGACAACACATGTCATTCCAGGAAATACCTATGGGCATCATACTATTGCTGTAGCTGAATAAACAGAAGATTAAAATGCATTGATTGATTTATTAAATGTTGTCTTTTGTTGGACAAGAGGTTCATAAATGCTTCACATGTTTGGAAAGATGTTTGACGCGTGTTGCTTTTTCAAATGCATGTTATAAGCGACTCAAACTCGCAGTGCTTTCAGATGGAGTAGAGCCGTACGTCACTGACAAGCTGCGCATAAAAAATAATCGCAGCCTTTGCTATTTCATAATCGATTAATTATGCAGCCTTAGAATAGAGGGCAAGATTTTATTTTAGCACACCTCCTCTTAGGGTTGCCAACTTTCTGAAATGGAAATAAGGAACGTTTGGGGGGGGTATGTGGTAGTGACATGCCCCCTGAAATTCATACATTTTATATCATATTATAATGCAACTTATTAGGCCTATATATTTATAGAATAGCAAAGTAGGCTTAATCAATATACAAGACTTAACCACACAGATATATAAAGGCTATCATGATCATTTTGCCAAAAATGAACCATGTATTTGTTTTGATTATAATACGTTTTATTTTTAACTTAAACAAATACAACATATAACATTCGAAACTCATCGGCTTAGACAGCATTTGAAGAAAAATAAACACAACAGTTTTCTGTAGCCTTGTGCGAACTTATTCAATAGAATTAGACTTCTAGAATGTTCTTTCCGGTGCAACATTTTAAAAAAATTTTTTTTTTAGTAGTTTTTCTTATCATGGCCTACAAATGTCTTCGGAAACACATTTTACTCGATTTACTGAAGCCTGTAAAATGCATTTGCAGCTGCACAGCTTACACATTGAGCGTCTGGCTCGCTCAGGCTGCGCTGCGGCAACTGCACATCCAATGGCGCGGGCGCCTCTGACGTGCGACCAATGAGCCAACTCTACGTCATTACACGTCAGAGCCCGTCAAGGTGGCGCCAAGTCCCCGAATTTGCCATTATAGCAGCGGGTCTTCGTTCATTCATCATAGTCTGTCTGACATATATATTAGAAGCTATGCGTCTGTCATGGATTTGCACTGAATTGATTCTCAAAAATACGGAACAAAGTGCGTTCCGTATCAGTTCAATACGGAACAAGCCTTTTATGTGTCAAATACGGAACGATTCCGTATTATACGGAACGGTTGGCAACCCTACCTCCTCTCCATCCCTCGCTCATGGCAGACTGACGGTTAGAGGGGAGTGGTTAAGGATATTCTATCCAAGCCGTCAAACTGACGTCATCAGAGAAGGAACGCCATTCTAGAGCAGAAGCAAATTTTCAAATTTTGATTAAAGATTACCACGACAAACTATTTTTTTTTTCTGTGTATTAACTTGCACGAATTAATTGTTCACCGGAAGACTAGTAATGTGCGCTAACGAAGTAAATGAGGTGGCTGATAAGGGTGTCTAGAAGTGCAGGTTGTTGCCCCTCCCCTTTCTCCTGAGTGGTCAGCCCTTATTTGCCCATGTGAGAAGCTTACGGTGTCACTGAGCTCCAGGCACATGCCTTGCATACCAGCAGATACTCTGCACACAGTTGTTGGGCATACCCCACGTTTTTCAGCCCCGGGGAACGGATTGCTGGCATTCACAGAGAAGCTCGATTGAGGGCAAAAAACGACAGATGCTCCTTTACCCTGCTCTTGAGAGGTCAAGTCTACAGTCCGTGAACATGTTGTCCAGTGACTCTATTTTGGGCTGACAATTTTAAGGGGGGGAAGGGAGAATAGAAATGAGTGTTGCATTGTATTGCGTCATACTGAAAAAAAAAAAAAAAAAAAAATTCTGTTGTGTCGAATGCATTTGCACATAAATAAATCATAAAATATATGAATAAGGCAACCAGTCCTTACAACATAGTGTTCAGACAGCCTCCTCACCCTTCCTCCCCCCCCTGAATTTACGTAAATAAACTACTCTAATATACTTTAAGCCAATAAATAGCTTAACAATATCCAGCCTTACTCCCTAATGTATGATAGGAGTGGTCCAATTACGCACAATTTGTCACAATTATTTGTATAGGTGTTGGTCATCGTGATTACATTTCCTTTGTATTCTTTACCAAACTGTCTGCATTTGACTGAATGTTAGTAGCAAAGCACAAACAAAAGAAAAATCTTGACCTGCCAGTTTGGCCCCTTCATAGGTGTGGTTATGGTTTCAACCAAAACCCCCTGGAGCTCTCTGACATTCAGTAAATATGGTTTAATCACTCAAAGACCTGGCTGTTAATGTTGGAGGATGCAAACAGATACTTAATCTGTTTGGGCATGTTGAGATTTGGTGTTTCAGATTTCAGTGACTTTTTGCCCTAGGAAATACACACTTAGCATGTCAGAGGCGATCGCATCTAAGGCATCACATTTAATTTAGCAATCGCTTAGCTTAGCCTAAGGTGAGCTACAGCAGACATTATAACCATAATGTTTTTTATTCCTCCCATTTTGTTTAAATAACAATTTGAGTGACAGTAAAGACTATTTGAATGAAATGCTTCTTTTTTTTTTTTACGTTCTATTTATCAGAGAATCCTGAAGAAAATGCATCACATTTCCACATAAATATGGAGCACAACTGCTTTTAACACTGATAATAATAAGAAATGTTTTTTTTTAGCAGCAAATCAGCATATTAGAATGATTTCTGAACGATCATGTGACTGGAGTAATCCTGAAAATTCAGCTTTGCCATAACAGGAATAAATTACATTTTAAGGCATATTAAAATAGAGAGTAGTCCTTATAAATTGCAATATTTTTTCACAACATTACTATTTTTAGTTTATTTTTTATCAAATGAATGCTGCCTTAGTGAGCAAAAGAGACTTCATTCTGATGGTCAGTGTGTAGAATGGGTGAATGCAGATGCACTTATATCCTCTGTTTGTGCTTGTGTCGAGGTTCAGGCAGCTGCAGCTGGGTTCAGACAGCAGGGTGGCAGAACTGCTTAACCAGGTGAAGCTGAAAAAGTTTGAGTTGGAGCGTTCCCAGATGGTCCAGGAGGAGACCGCCAGGAACCTCAGCCTTTGTCAAATTGAGTGTGAGAAACACCAGAAAAAACTGGAGGCAAGGCTCTATAAAATAAAAAAATGTTTCATTTTGGTTAAATCTGTATGGCACAGATGCCATGCACATGAAACCTCAAAAAGTGATTTCTTTTAGCATCACTGCAAGTTAAAACCTGTCAATTGCTTAGTAGTTCAAGCTGTTAATTCCTTAAAGGAATACTTTAACATTCTGTCATCTTTTACAACTCTGTCATGTCATTTCTAACCTGCATGACTTTCATTTTTCCAAGGAACACAAAAAGATCATTTATTTACCACTCTTTACTGTATAGTGAAGTAAATACATCTTACTCATAGTTATTCTTTAAAAAACATGAATAATTCAATAACCCTTTTAAAAATAATCTTTGGTAATTAAATCTCAATATGAATATCCGTATTTTATACTGTACATTTATAATGAAAATGTAAGAGATATTTACGGAGCTCCTAAAGGGACCTTTGCAAAAAAATAAAAAATAAAGACTATCGCGTGCGCACGCGAAACACATTGCGTGCGCACGCGATAGTTTCTGGTGCGCACGCATTACAATTTCCGGTTTGCATACAATTTGCGTCACTGTCATTACTATGAGGAAAACAAGAGCATGGATGTCAAAGTTTAAACTTCTCCTATAGATTAAAAAAGACCAAAGTGTTATTAAACTGTTGGTTACAACGTGACCAATAAATCCTTATTTTTTAAGGAATTGGTTTAACGGGGATGTTAATCATCTTATGAATAGGTTTGATAATTATGGAAATATTTTAACATACGAGCAATGTATGCAAATCCATAGTTTTCCTGTGCATTTTAAAGAATTTAATTAAAGCTATTTCCCCTACTCCGATTCATCTTATCAAAAGTCATATTCAATTTAACTCCACATTAATGATAAATCCAAAATAAATGGCATTGAATTGATTGATAAAAAATGCTATAATAAACATATTTGTACAATATTTCAAATACAAAATAAAATAGCACCTAGAGGAATTTTTTTGGAACTCTATTATTGATAATATTAATTGGAAGACTGCTTGGTTAATCTCCTTTAAATATTGCATTAACAATAAAACCAAAGAAATACATTTTAAAATGTTGCATACTATACATGTTAGAATTTTGATGATTATGGCTTACAGCTATGAAAACCTTTTCACAATATTCTAAATTTGAATTTGGGGTTTTCATAAGCTGTAAGCCATAATCATAAAAATTATAACAAATAAAGGCTTGAAATATCTCACTTTGCATGTAATGAGTCTGTTATATGTGAGCTTCACCTTTTAAGTTGGGGATGAATTTAAATATTTTTGCTTATGGATATAAAATTTTGCCAACAATATAAATTAACAATGTATTCAAGACCTTTGTTAACATTGTTTTCATAATATACAATAATATCCTTTAAAGTAAAATAGTAATTAATTTTTACTAAATAAAAGATAAATTCTGCCAATTCCTTTGCCACTTTTACAAAAGGAACATAAATCGTCAATATCAGAGTATCTTGCAATTTCTTTGGTTTTATTATTAATGCAATATTTAAAGGGGATTAACCAAGCAGTCTTCCAAATAAAATTATCAATAATAGAGTTAAAAAAAATCCTCTAGGTGCTATTTTATTTTGTATTTGAAATATTGTACAAATATGTTTGTTATTGCATTTTTTATCAATCAATTCAATGCCATTTAAAATTTATTTTGGATTTATCATTAATGTGGAGTTAAATTGAATATGACTTTTGATAAGATGAATCGGAGTAGGGGAAATAGCTTTAATGACAGAATTAAATTCTTTAAAATGCACAGGAAAACTATGGATTCGCATAAATTGTTCGTATGTTAAAATATTTCCATAATTATCAAACATATTCATAAGATGATAAATATCCCTGTTAAACCAATTCCTTAAAAATAAGGATTTATTGGTCACGTTGTAACCAACAGTTTAATAACACTTTGGTCTTTTTTAATCTATAGGAGAAGTTTAAACTTTGACATCCATGCTCTTGTTTTCCTCATAGTAATGACAGTGACGCAAATTGTATGCAAACTGGAAATTGTAATGCGTGCGCACGAGAAACTATCGCGTGCGCACGCGAAACACATTGCGTGCGCACGCGATAGTCTTTTTTTTTTTTTTTTTTGCAAAGGTCCCTTTAGGGGCTCCGTAGATATTCCTTTGTATTTTTTAAGATTTATTTTTTGGAATTTTTGCCTTTATTCTGATAATTCAGTTATCTTACCGAGAGAGGACATGAAGCAGTGTGGGAGAGAGAGAGAGAGGGGGGTGGGATCGGGAAAGGAGCCGGGACTCAAACTCGGGTCGCCCGAAGCGCAACATGTCGAAGGGAGGCCAACGAGGCCATTGGCTCTGACTAGAGAGCTACAGTGCTTAGCATAAGTGAACACACCCATGCTTAAGTTGACTAAAAAGAGGAATAAAAACTGCTATTCGACTATTCCATTGCTTCCTTGTGGGCCTGAGACGAGAGTTCAAGAGATTTCCAGGACGCATGCACGAGAACTGACGTTCTTCTTCTACTACACAGCGCGCGTCTTACAAGCAGAGGAAGACGCACGCTGTGTAGTAGAAGAAGAACGTCAGTTCTCGCGCATGCGTCCTGGAAATCTCTTGAACTCTCGTCTCAGGCCCACAAGGAAGCAATGGAATAGTCGAATAAAGTCGTTATTTTTGTTTTTTTCCACACAAAAAGTATTCTCGTCGCTTGATAAACTTATAGTTGAGCCACTGTAGGCACATGGAATATTTAAACATTTTCTTTAATGACTTTCTGGGCCGTCAAGCAGTCCCTCCAGTTTTTCGCGATTCTGCGATCGCTGAATACAACGCAAAATCAACAAAATGTCGCATTTTTTTGCGATCCTGCATAATTCCCAATTTAACCGCAAAATAATCACAAAAATTCAAAAAATGACCTCATAAAACATTAAATTATAATCACCCAATTGAAATATATCTAGTTAAAGTTTCAATGCATTTTTACGTGGATACAGATGTTGCGCACGCGTGATGTCTGTGAGCGGTCTGTCAGAAACATGGCGAAAGAAAATGCGTCTCTCCTGCCCTCTCACATAACCGCCCAGGTTTTCATTGGGATACGGCAAACTTATTAACGCATTTAACATGATTGAATGACATAACAAAAAGTATGATATGCTCGATGGTACTAAAAAGAATTCTTAAAAGCGCAGCATACCGTGAAAGAGAACTAATTTCAGCCAGTCGAGTGACAGTCTGTCTCTGACTGCAAGCGTGTGTGTGTGTGTGTGTGTGTGTGTGTGACTGACTGACTGACTGACTGGCTGACTTTATAGCGCTTGAACAAATACACATAGCTACAATTACTTCAAAATATTAATCTTGGCAAGTATTTACGTAAAACAATCAGTAATAACTGATTGGGACGTTTGTCATTACTGTAGTAGGTCTTAAAGTGACAGTAACCTAATTTACCTGCTGTTGTCAGTGTTGTTAATGTTATTCAAGCAAGCAACAACAATAGGCTACAGCACAATTTAAAAAAAAGAATTTGATTAGACCAAATAAACAAGCTTTATGCAATTTGTTTGTCATTTGTGTCATGTATGACTATTGTGCATCTGACATAATACTATTATGGTAAATGTGATGTCCTAATTATAAAATATAAAAATCGCAAATTTTTCACAAATTTCTGGAAATTATCACCACAAAATCAAAAATTTTGATCGCAAAAATCACACAAAAAAATCGTGAAATCCTGGAGGGACTGGTCAAGTGTCATTCCCTTAGGCAGCCTATGTAGCAGTGATCCACCTCTCAGATTTAATCAAAAATATCTTCATTTGTGTTCCGAAGATGAACGAAGGTCTTACGGGGTTGGTACAGCATGGGGATGAGTAATTAATGACTTAATTTTCATTTTTGGGTGAACTAACCCTTTAACATAGGGGTGTCCTAACTTATGCCCCCTGTATTTTAATGAAGAACATTTATTTATTTATGATACATTATTCATTCACAAAGAAAATGTGTGTGCTTAAAGGTTAGATTTTTCCTAATTTTTTTAATTAAGGCATTAAGATCAATTTCCAAAAGATCATTTTTTATTCCTCTTTTTAGTCAATTTTAGCATGGGTGTGTTCACTTACGCTAAGCACTGTATGCCTGAGTTAACTTGTAGCATTGAAAACTATTGTTTTTCCCCCCCGTTTTTTTGTGTGCTTTTTAGCGTTTTATTTCTCTGATCCGGGTCTTCTGATTTATTTTTGATTTTTTACAAAATAGTATAAAATTGTAATATTGTGAAATCTATGAATGGCATTTACATTAAGCCATTAACAAGTCATATGGACTTCTTTTTAATGCTGCATTTTGATGCTCAGCATCGTGGATCCCAATTCAAAGGCCAGTCTGTTCTTCAAGATTTCTCCCTCTGTGTTCTACGGAGAGAATAAAAGTATTTAGAATGACATGAGGGTAAATGATAATAGAATTTTCTTTATTTGGGTCTTCACTTCATAAATATTACAGTATTCTTTAATTATTACCCATGATTTGATTGTTCCAATGTCATACATGGAATATATCATTCTTGTAATGAGCTCCACACTGACTCTCTCAACTCATTCGGAGACCAGGCAAGGGTTGAACCCCATACCAGCCTCATACAATAAGGATTGCACATATTTGTCAGCATCATAAAGCCTATTTGAACATGATATGACACCACCCTTGTTACTCAAGTTCTGTCGTTATATCTTTGTCCTTCTCTTGATCTGTTTATGCAGGTTCTAACAAAAGAGTTTTACGGGCTTCAGACATCATCAGACAAACGCATCACAGAACTGCAAGCTCAGAATTCTGAAAGGCAAGCACGACTGGAGACATACGAGCGATTGGAAAAGGAGCTGGACGATGTTACCATGCAGGCTGCAGAGAGTAAGAAAGGAGACTGATTCAGTCATTGATATTGAAGACCAAAGATAAGACAAGACCAGAACATCAGCAAGGTTGCACACTGAAATTAAATGGTCAGTTAAATTTTTCTTAAAGACCCACTGAAGAGCTTTGTATGATGCGTTGACGTAATTTCCACTGAAACAGGAAACTAAGGCGGGACACATTGAATGGCCCCTCCCCCTTTTCAAATAGCCAATAGCGTTTAGTTTACCTCACAGACTGCACGTCGTACTTAGCAGCACCATGAAAGCGAATCCGAGCGCTGATGATATGATAGATTCAATAGTAGAGGTGTGAATAAATTCTAGCCATTGCATTCTTTACCAACGCACAGTTGAAAAACGGAATAAAACTTGAGCGTTTGAGCAACCGAACACACATCTCCAACCCATATTGCTCTGACGTGTCAACGATCGCTTTGGCCAGGTGGTATTTATAGCATATAGGGGGCAGGATGCTTTAGATTCTAGAGAGCATTTGATTGGACAGAAGATGTGATGAGAAGCAGAAGTCTGTGGTGATGTCATAAAAATCTGTGAGAGACTGTAAGTTTTGAATGCTTATATCTCCTAAATGCGAATTTTGTCATTGATTTGGAACACACCAGCTTATCCATAACCTTAAGGCTAACATATTCATACTTAAAGATAAAAAAAAATTACATTTTAATTTCAGGGGGCCTTTAAATTCTGACATGAGGGTCTTATTTCTGCATATATGGTCATGTAGATTTAAAGACGTCAAAGCTGTGGTTAAATTAGTGCTGGTGAAGATTCTGTTTTATGACTACTCGTGAATAGGGTTGGGTACCGAAACTCGGTGCCAATAGGGAACCGGTTCCGACGTAAACGGTAGTAACCAGACCGAATAAGAACGAAAATTTCGGTGCCTGATTTCGGTGCCTAACTTCATTAGGCACACACGCGCGCACACACACACACACACACACACACACAAGGTCTCTCGCTCGCTCTCTCTCCGCCGTGCGTGTGCTACACAGTTTGGAGCACAGTTTCTTCTGTCTCCCATGCGCGCTCTTTCTCACAAGGTTTGGCTGCATTTCACGTGTAAAATTACGTGTCAGAACGCCCTCTGGGTGTGCCGATAGTCTGAATCCCATATAGAATCAAGCCAATTCATTGGCTGATGGCGCGGGTGCCGCATCGACGCACTTACGTCGTCATACTATGTTGGCGCGCGCGCGCCATCTGCTCCTCAGATTTCTCTGCCGAAAAAGGAAGCTGGTCGGCAGCGCGAGGAGCTTGGCAGCGTCCCGTTCCCTATTGAGAGATATGTTACACCAGTAACCAGAGATGTTCTCTTTCATAGGTTCACTCAACGCTGCGTAGCTAAGAAGCAGTGGATTTGTAGGCTGCTGTATCACGTGCCGTTTGAACTGACGCGCTACAGCAATCTGTCACATTTCAAAGAGCCAAAACGTTATTTATTGTGTGAATCTTGTAAAAATATTGACAGAATCTGACAGCTGTGGATTTGTTCCATATCAAAAGTAACCTTCTCTGTCTTGTCTGTCAGTGTCCTCTTTGTCCGCGATTTTTCTGTGTGAAAAGGGTCATTTGCGTGAGTCTCACGGTCAATGCGTGAGAGTTGGCAGCTCTGCCTGCTAGTAATCTCTATTAATCTCCAGTATTACATTGTTTGATACAATATTGTTTCATTTGATATTATGTAAATATGAATTTTTATTTTATATTGGTTTTATTATTACCATATGTTACTTGTATTTATATTGTTTAAAGATTTAAGTTAATAGTGTGTCCAGTTTGGCCCTGTAAATTAAAGGGTATTATTTTTTGATAAAGTGTGTGCGGTTTCATTTTCTTAAGTACCGATTTAAGAACCGTTTAAGCACCGGAACCGTTTAAAAAATACCGAGTAGGTACTGGAATCGGATAAAACCCAAACGATACCCAACCCTACTCGTGAAACAGTTCTGCTGCAAAAAACACAAGTAAACACTGTAGTAATAGTAAAAAAATAAAAATAAAACACACTGCATGTTTGTTTTTCCATTGGTTTTGCATGTTCAACATGCCATACTACATCAGACCTGATGATGATTTGAATAAATGGCCTTAGGGTCTCGTCCTTAAACAACCCTCTTCTAAACGTCAGTGAATATGCTGACACTGAGCTGAGGTGATGTGAAAGGCTGGCCTAGCCAGGTTTTAAAATCCCTCAGGTTAACAACAGGTTTTAAAATCCCTCAGGTTAACAACAGGTTTTTAACTCCAAGTTAAAAACTGGTTTTTAATTCCATCAAGGTAAAAAAACATCATCAAATCTGCATAGATCAAACTTAAAAAAAGAATGCCTAGTGCAAGGAATGCCTGTTGATACCGCAAGTTGATGTAGTTACTTATCACTGTGATGTTGTTGTCAAGTTAAACTTATCTATCTGCCTTTTTGAAGCAAAAGAAAAACAGTTTTTTAGTTACTCCTCCTACAAATTTTGTCCAAAATATGATCAGATGATCTTTGGACCGAGCTGCACAGAAATGACTGAACAAATTTTTGATATTCCCTACCGTTCCCGAGAAATACCTCTCAGAATTTGACATGCCTGTGTTTGTTGTCTTATTTGACTTAGCTTAGCATGCTAATTGGTTAACATGCTAACCAGTTACTATACTTTCTAATGTGGCTCTTCAGCTATCAGGTTAACCGTAAGCTACATAAGCAGTTCAGGTATAGCTTAGTGTGCTAATCGTTTAAAATGCTAAGTAACACTTCTGTGAGCTCATTCTTGCCTTGGAAACTCTCTTCAGCAGCCTGTTGAACGTGGGTCAACCAGTGGCACACCTACAGTGAGGAAAATAAGTATTTGAACACCCAGCTATTTTGCAAGTTCTCCCACTTAGAAATCTTGGAGGGGTCTGAAATTGTCATCGTAGGTGCATGTCCACTGTGAGAGACATAATCTAAGAAAAAATAACCAGAAATCACAATATATGATTTTTAAACTATTTATTTGTATGATACAGCTGCAAATAAGTATTTGAACACCTGTCTATCAGCTAGAATTCTGACCCTCAAAGACCTGTTAGTCTGCCTTTAAAATGTCCACCTCCACTCCATTTATTATCCTAAATTAGATGCACCTGTTTGAGGTCGTTAGCTGCATAAAGACACCTGTCCACCCCATACAATCAGTAAGAATCCAACTACTAACATGGCCAAGATCAAAGAGCCGTCCAAAGACACTAGAGACAAAATTGTACACCTCCACAAGGCTGGAAAGGGCTACGGGGAAATTGCCAAGCAGCTTGGTGAAAAAAGGTCCACTTTTGGAGCAATCATTAGAAAATGGAAGAAGCTAAACATGACTGTCAATCTCCCTCGGACTGGGGCTCCATGCAAGATCTCACCTCGTGGGGTCTCAATGATCCTAAGAAAGGTGAGAAATCAGCCCAGAACTACACGGCAGGAGCTGGTCAATGACCTGAAAAGAGCTGGGACCACCGTTTCCAAGGTTACTGTTGGTAATACACTAATGCCGAGTTCAGACTGCACGATTTTCATAATAATCGGGTCACTGTTGTTTTCACACTGCATGACTATCTGGGGTAACATTCAGTTGCTGCGGTGTTCACACTGCACGTTGGATCGGCGACAGGAGGTTTCACACTGCATGACTTTACAAAAGAAAGAATCGCCGACAACTTCTGCCTGGTCCGCAAACCTCGTTTCACAACCAAACAAACGCGAGAAGTGATAGGAAATAACGGAAGATCACGCGTGCGTGAGACCGGAGTTCTCGCGCGACACTGAATTTGTTATTAAAAATGATAGCTTACAAAAATAAATAAACAGTTTATGGAGGAAATGGTTGGGAAGACGAGGGGAGCAAGGACTGTGTTTTGCAAAGAGAGTTGGGGGTAAATAAATAATTTTGCAAATGTCCTGCTGTTGCTGCTGGTCATGCAAATGTTTGTGCTTTGTTTCTGTTTGATATAATTGTAAATATAGGCCTATCTATTAAAATACTGATATTCTGGTCTATAACTCCTCCTCCTCCTCCCTGCATCTTGCTCTCTCATTGGCTGTCGGTCATCGCCGATGTAGTTTTCAGTCAGAACACATTCACACAGCAGGATTGTGAATCGCTGACAGGTCCAGATATTTAGCATGCCAAATATCTCACGGGCGTCGGCGACTCGTCGGCGATTCTCTCAGATCGCGTCTTTGCTCATTCACACTGCGTGATTGTCACTCGCGTGAACGAGCACCGATTTGCCTGTGATTTCGGGCATTTGTCGGTGATTTCTCAAAACCTGTCGGCGAGCCAAAATCGGGGCTAAAATCGTGCAGTCTGAACTCGGCATAAGACGTCATGGTTTGAAATCATGCATGGCACGGAAGGTTCCCCTGCTTAAACCAGCTCATGTCAAGTCCCGTCTTAAGTTTGCCTATGACCATTTGGATGATCCAGAGGAGTCATGGGAGAAAATCATGTAGTCAAATAAGACCAAAATATAACTTTTTGGTCATAATTCCACTCGCTGTGTTTGGAGGAAGAAGAATGATGAATACCATCCCAAGAACACCATCCCTACTGTGAAGCATGGGGGTGGTAGCATCATGCTTTGGGGGTGTTTTTCTGCACACGGGACAGGGCGACTGCACTGTATTAAGGAGAGGATGACCGGGGCCATGTATTGCGAGATTTTGGGGATCAACCTCCTTCCCTCAGTTAGAGCATTGAAGATGGGTCGAGGCTGGGTCTTCCAACATGACAATGACCCGAAGCACACAGCCATGATAACCAAGGAGTGGCTCTGTAAGAAGCATCTCAAGGTTCTGGCGTGGCCTAGCCAGTCTCCAGACCTAAACCCAATAGAGAATCTTTGGAGGGAGCTCAAACTCCGTGTTTCTCAGCGACAGCCCAGAAACCTGACTGATCTAGAGAAGATCTGTGTGGAGGAGTGGGCCAAAATCCCTCCTGCAGTGTGTGCAGACCTGGTGAAAAACTACAGGAAACGTTTGACCTCTGTAATTGCAAACAAAGGCTACTGTACCAAATATTAACATTGATTTTCTCAGGTGTTCAAATACTTATTTGAAGCTGTATCATACAAATAAATAGTTCAAAAATCATACATTGTGATTTCTGGATTTTTTTTTTTTTTTTAGATTATGTGTCTCACAGTGGACATGCACCAACGATGACAATTTCAGACCCCTCCATGATTTCTAAGTGGGAGAACTTGCAAAATAGCAGGGTGTTCAAATACTTATTTTCCTCACTATATAAGCAACAAGCACCGAACCTTTCAGGTTGTGGGTTCGACTCCTGTGTGGAACATGCCCAGACCGCAAGAGGTACTGTGGCCTGAAATGGTGCAAAAGTTGATTCTCTTCAAGACATTGTGTCTTTCTGAGAATGATCTAATCTGAATTTAATAAATCTAACATGTGATGCATTTATATAGAAAAAATGTTGAGTTAATTCTCAACTGAACTACTGAAGCTTGTCTTCCAAATGGTGCACTGCAATAAGCAACAAGCATGTGATCTAAAGATTGTGGGGTTGATTCCTGCCTGGTACAACATTATAAATGTGTGTAATGTTGTGTCACTGCGATTCCCTTTTTATTTGGGAAAGCATTGTACTAATATTTCTTCCTCTTGGATTAGAAATGTGTTTTTGTTCATTCTGTGTTCATTTTCATCTTAACTTCTGAATCACTGAATCGCACACACACTGCCAACTTTTTTTACTTATTATTATTGTTATATATTTTGTTCTAAATGTAGTGAAGCAATTTTGTTAAATTTTTTTAAAAAAAATGTAAACTTATTGTGGTTCTACCAACATGCAGACAAAGCAAGAAACGATATAGACATAACCTTTCAGATGGTTATTCTTAAGGTCAATAAGTCTCTTAAAATATCATATAATTTTAGCTTTTTTATGTTTAAATACACACAACTTTTTACCCTGAAAAATTAGGACATTTGCATGTATTAAATGTGTAAGGAAAAATGACTTTTTATTTTTGCCTGATGGTTGCAGCACGTGACATTTTTAAAGTCATTCATTAAAAACAAAAAAAACAAAAATTGAAAGTGGTGTAAAAGTTTTTCAAAACCAAAAGAAACCAATATTGATTACAGAGAGTACATTTATAGGAACTTGGTACAAGATTTTTTGATATTCTTGTTTGTTATTGACCTTTATGTTCTTGTTCAATTGGTTATATAAACTTGCTCTTGAGTCTATACATCATTACAAGAACATCTTGCTCTATACATCATTCTCATCTTTATCTCTTTAAACACTACTTCACCGTTTTTCATGTCTACATAAACTTTCCAACACAGTATGTATTGTAAGAAAAGATAGAAAACTGTTTATAGTCCTATAAGTGCTCTCCCTTCTGGCAATGATGCTAGTTGGGTGGTCTAGAGACATATTTGTTCTTAAACATACTTTTTTCCTCCTTTTTTGTAGTTGAAAATGAAGATGAGGCAGAGAGGGTGCTGTTTTCATATGGTTATGGTGCAAACATTCCAACAACTGCTAAGAGAAGACTGAAGCAAAGGTGAAGTCTGAGGAGGTCACTCATCTTTGAAAACCAGAAGCTCATCTTTGTGTTTACTGGCTGTTTTTATGTCTGCGTGACTCTAATCATAGGTTTCTGAATGTGTGTGTGTAGTGTTCACTTGGCACGTAGGGTTCTGCAGCTGGAGAAACAGAATACGCTGCTTCGGAGAGACCTGGAAAGACATACGGCGCACAGCAGCCAGATCTCTGAAGAGGTGCTGCATTTCACTCTTTTGACAAGAATGCATAGACACACATGTACACATACAGTACCTGGGGGGGGTGGGAGTAAAAAATTTGGCAGTAAAAAGCATTTTTGTGTCTGTATATATATAAATATTTAAACTGTTTTAATGTACAATGTAGAGGCAAAGAACCACCCGACGCAAAACAGAGTGTATTCAAATATTTGAATGCACAACTAGCCATGGATTATCCCGCTTATACCATGGTCATTTGCCATTAGAAAGTGGTTACTGATGTTTGCATTGGAATATTTGACCGCAAGGGTAAAAATTAGTTATTTTTGTTAGTTACAACTCGTTAGATCTAGCATTCTGCCCACTTTGAATCAGACACAGAGATATAGTGCGAGAGAGATAGATGCACGTGAATGAATTATAGGCAAAAACAATGAGCTCGTTAAAGCAATTATGACAAGTTGTGATCATAATGATTACAATATTGGGAAAATTTGTCGGGAAAATATGTTGATTCAGAGTTGACTTCATCTCAAGTCCTTGTAAGAGGCTGGATCCAAACCTGAGCTGGGGTAATCTCTAGTTACTTCCGGATGGGCATACCAAGGTAGAAACAGAAAAGCAAATGGAAAAGAATTTGCATTGCTGCTATTCATAACACACACATGTGATTGTTTGGCTAAAGAGATCTCTTTAATCTAGATTTAAGCTGAGAGAGTGTGTCTGAGCCCCAATCATTATCAGAAAGGCTACCTTTAGCTTTAGTGACGTGTAGCCAATTATGGTGTCCCATAGTCTAAATTTGTGCTTTGCACTTCACCCATCCAAGTGCACACACAGCAGTGAGTATACACCCACAAAAATGCACCCGGAGCAGTGGGCAGCCTTTTTTTTTTTGCTGGTGCCTCAGGGGCACCTCAGTAATGAGAGTGGAAGAGAGCTCTACCTACATTTCCTGACGGTACTGAGACTCAAACCTGCAACCTTCGGGTCACAAGTCTGACTCTCTGGACTTAAATGTCCTAAGTACTACCAAAAGTCCAGAGTTTTGTAACCTTAAAGTCCCTGTAAAGTCAAAAATAAGTATGTGTTTTGAGTTTGTCACACCACAGAAAAATGTGTTATTAGTCACCCAGCCAAATTTGAATGATAAAAAACGCCAGCAAGTACATAAAATAAGCTATCAACATCTTGAAAAAATGAGCAGTATTCTCTGCTCTCAAACGCTGGGGGCGTGTCCGCTGGCTGCGCTGAAACCACGCCCACTCGCGGGAAAACTGCCGTCGCCACACTGAACCATAGACTGAACTCTAGTCTACAGCCGGAATGGATGCTGGCACGGTGGACACGCACTGCCGATGATGGCACCAGTTGTCGGCGCGGCGGGAGGATGATGGCCGAGGCGGGAGTCGGTTCGGCTCCATTCACCAGTAACAGCGGATTATCAGTGAATCCCAGTTGTCTCCGACGAAAGTTTATAAAACTATCCCGTGTAAAATGATCACTTACAGAGGCGGGTGTTGGCGGTGATCCTCAGCTCTCCATCAAGGTGGCTCTTCACAAAATGAATCCACTTCTTCTTGATGTAATCGTTTTTCGGAAATTTAAATAAGGACACCGATCTGTTTTGTACGTGATCCGGTGATCGGATTCAGGTAGTACGCATTTCCGTGACGAAGGCATAGCTAGCTAGCAATCTGTATGCTGTGTTACTAATAATAGTACTGACAGTAACTCGCGATTGAGCGCCAAACTGAAGCGAATGTGCTATATATTGTTAGGGGAGCGCAGCGGACAGCCTCAGTGGCCTCACTAGGGGCGTGTCCAGGAGCTCAGGGGCTCCAGTGCGTCATCGAGCCCTGTTTTAGCCCCGCCCAAAAAATCCGGAAAATAGCAATGGTGAAAAAATGTTTAACGGTCTAACTCCACAATTCAGTAATTCACAGTTCACAGTCTTTGTAATATGTTTTAGCAATACATTTCTAACATTTATAATGTGTTTAGAATTTTGACAGAGTTTAGAAATTGCCTTTACAGGGACTTTAAAAGTCCCGTTCTTCATGTTTTTTTGAAGCTTTGATTGTGTTTACAGTGTGCAATATAACGTGTTCATGTTTCGCGTGTTAAAAAACACAGTATTTTTCACACAATTTACTTATCTGTATACCGCTGTTTTCACTGTCCAAAAAACGGCCTGATGACTTCCTTGTTCTATGAAGTCCCTCCTTCAGAAACACGTAACGAGTTCTGATTGTGCCAGCGGTTCCTGTGTTGTGATTCGACAGCAGCTTATCGCACGTTGCCCGGAAAGGTCACGCCTCTTACCATAAATTGGAGATGCATGCGCAGCTGAAGTGCTTCTTCTCCGTGGGAGCGCAACAAGACCACGCCCCCTTTTTTGTGTATTCCTGTGGGCGGAGATTAGTCAAAAAACTGTTCTAGTTACGTCATTAAAAAAGGAAGTAGAGGGATGTAGTCCAAACCGGCCGTTCGCTGTATGCTTTGAAAGGGGACTTTGTTAAATAAAATATCTCGCTAGGCATTGAACTTTGAGCTTTATAATTTTACAGGTATTATTTATGCTCTAACAGCAACATTACACACTAACTAAAGTTTGAAAAATGGAATCGCGAAGAACGGGACCTTTAAAGGTATAGGTAAAGTCAAATTTTGTCATCAGTTGCTCACCCTCAAGTGGTTCCAAACCTGTATGAGTTTCACAAAAGATATTTTAAAGAATGTTGGTAATCTAACAGTTGACGATATTCATTGAAAAAGAATTGTAGGAAAAAATACTATGGAAGTCAATGGCTGCCGTAAACTGTCTGGTTGCCAATTTTTTTTCTTCTAAAGATAAAGAAGTTATCTTCTTTTGTGTTAAACAGAAGAAAGAAACACATTGTTTGGAACAACATAAGGGTGAGTACATGATGACAAAATTTTGGGTTTACTATCCTTTTAAAGAGCGTGATGGATTGTAGGGGGCGAAAGAAGATTAGTTAAATACACAGGAGCTAAACCACTGTCGGTTTTGGTCCAATAAGTAATACCTCAGTCTTATCTGAATTTAATAGAAGAAAATTACTGGTCATCCAATATTTCATATCTTTAACACACACTGTCAACTTGGATAATTTTGAGATTTTATCTGATCATGATAAAATTTATAACTGAGTATCATCAGCATAACAGTGGAAACTAATTCCATGTTTTTTAATAATATTACCAAGGGCATGTATATTGAAAATAGCAGAGGGCCTAAAACCCATGCGGCACTTCATAATTTACTGATGTTAGTTTTAATAATTCCCTGTTTAAATAAGCAAAATCGTAATAGTCAGATAGGTACGATCTAAAACACCTTAATGCCTGTCACTGAATACCTATTAATATCTATGAGTATGTCATGATCAATAGTGTTGAACACAGCACTAAGATCAAGTAAAACTAGTGTTGAAATCAAGCCTTGGTCAGAAGCAAGTCAGTAAGTCATTTATAATTTTAACAAGTGCAGTTTCTGTGGTATGATGGGGCCTGAATCCTTACTGAAATTTTTCATAGATGTAATTTTTTGGTTACACTTTATTTTATTGTGACGTAGTTACATTGTACTTACTCGAGTAATATTAATGAACTACATGTACTTACTATAGTAATAACAGTAAATTATGCATAATTACAAGTAACTAACCCTAAATCAAACCCTAACCGTAACTCTATAATAAGTACATGTAGTTAATAAATAGTACTTAGTAATTATTTGAGTAAGTACAATGTAACTACGTCAGACCCCATCATACCACAGAAACTGCACTTGTTAAAATTACAAATGACTTGCTTCTGACAAAGGCTTGATTTCAACACTAGTTTTACTTGATCTTAGTGCTGTGTTCAACACTATTGATCATGACATACTCATAGATATTAATAGGTATTCAGTGACAGGCATTAAGGTGTTTTAGATCGTACCTATCTGACCATTACGATTTTGTTTATTTAAACAGGGAATTATTAAAACTAACATCAGTAAATTATGAAGTGCCGTGTGGGTCTGTTTTAGGCCCTCTGCTATTTTCAATATACATGCCCTTGGTAATATTATTAAAAAACATGGAATTAGTTTCCACTGTTATGCTGATGATACTCAGTTATAAATTTTATCACGACCAGATAAAATCTCAAAATTATCCAAGTTGACAGTGTGTACTTACTATAGAGTTATGGTTAGGGTTTGGTTTTAGGGTTAGTTGTAATTATGAATAATTTACTGTTATTACTATAGTAAGTACATGTAGTAACATGTAGCTATTTCACCTTTAAATAAATGTTATCCATTTTTTTGCAAGAATGAGCACAATTGAATGGACACAACTTTTTCTAGTATTTTAGACATAAATGAAATATTTGAAATGGGTCTGTAATTTGCCAATTTATTTGGATTTATTTGTGGTTTCTTAATGAGAGGCTTTATAATGGCCAGCTTGAAGGGTCTCGGGACATGACCCAGACATAGAGACGGGTTAATAATATTGAGAAGTTTGGTAGATAACGACTCTTTCAGTTTTTTAGTGGGTATTGGATACATGCTGTTGGTTCAGATGCAATGAAAATTTTATTCTTCCTGTCCTATAGTTGTAAAGCATTGCAATTGTTCTTGAGGAGTGATAATTGAGGCTGAATCATAAAATACTGTTGAAGGTTGTATATTTACAATTGTATTTCTGATGCTTTACTTCTAGACTGTGATGGAATATTAATTTCAGGTGACGTCTGTTTATTTGTTAATATAGCCAATGTTCTAAATAAAAACTTTGGATTGTTTTGGTTATTTTCTAAGAGTTTGTGGAGATGCTCGGCCCTGGCCTGGAGCTTTTTTTATAGTGGGATATAGTGTCTTTCCACACGATTCTAAAGACATGTAGATAAGTTTGTTACCATTTGCGCTCCAGATTGCGAGTTCCTCCTTGATAGATTGAGTAATACTGCTGTACCATGGTGCAGTACTTTTCTCTCTA